CTCCACAGATGGGGCGGCGAACACAGCGCTTGCTTGCGCCCAGGCCTGCGAAGTTGGCATCTGAAGCTGCCCCCATCCAGGGATCATCCAGGGATAGCCTTCTCCCCAAAAGCTACGCTGCCCGACGCCCAGTCCTTGAGGGCATGCCGGAAATCGATGTCGAACCCAGCGTGTTCGCGCCAGTCACGTCAGCTCCGTCTACACCGGGCGCGAAAGCGAGAAACTGCCACCGTGCCTCGAGACAACGTGTGGGGCGTTCGCAATCCCCTTCGAGCTCTCAGTGCACCACCGCGGGCCTCCCACGTTGAGGCATGGTCGACTGCCAAGTGTTGTCCGGTAGAATTTCTGTACGTCTCCCCGCCCCCCTCCCCCAGGGTAACACCCAGGTGCGTACATCGCCAATCCCGAGGCTCCCTTGGCGGCCCGACACCTCCCTCGGACGCTCCGAGGGTCTCCTAAGGCTTCAGAGGCGGCCCAGGAGTGCCACCGTGGCCGCAAAGATGGGCTAGCAATGTCTCAAGAGGCAACCAGAAGATACAAAGCACACTCTGAGAGTTGCAAAAAAGGGCTCCGAGAGGCTGCACAATCCTTAGACAGAAAGCAAAGAGGCCCATCAGGAAAGCCTATGGTACTCGACCTCAGCTACCTGACCACTTTTCTTGAATGATCGGATATCTCTAGTTTCCTGGGCCTCTCACCTCAAGATGGCTGATGAGATCGGGGGCGCGCAAACATGGATTAGCGATCCATGCATTTGGCGCGCGGTCGCCAAATCCATGAATCAGGGGAAATGCCCTCCCCGAAAGGCGACCGGTGCCGCTTCGTTCGGCGGCGGAAATCCGCGACTTCCCATGGAAGCGGGGCCCGTCGCTACTGCACGCCCCTTTGATCCATGCTTGCGATAGCCTGATGTTCTGGAGTGATTGGATATCCGTGGTTTCTCGGGCCTCTCACCTCAAGCTGGCTGATGGGAGCACCCCAGGTGAGTAGAGTTAAGTCGGGCGTGTCCCCCTACAGGGGATTTTTCGACGAAGAATAAAGAATGCCCCAAGAATGCTCCAAAATTGTCGAAAAATGCCCAAACAAGAGTCCCCAGACTATTTTTTTGACTATTTTTGGAGATTCCTCCCGTAGAGGGACGGGCCCGACTTAAGAGTAGAGACGATCTGTGTGGCACGTCGCAGCCTCGTGGGCGGTGCCCGAGGCGTCGCCGCACAGTGCTGCGCTGGCGCGGTGGGGCTCGCCGGAGGCAGCCGGACACGGAGCAGTCGTTGCGGCCCCGTGCCCTCGCTGGAGGCCCCAGGAGTGGCTTGGTGGTCCCCAAACGTGGTGGTGAGAACACCTGGTGGTGAGTTTTGAGCGATTTGGGTAATGGTTTTCGAGCGCTGGCTGGCCCAGGAAACGCAAAACCTCGTGGCGACCGCGTGTCCCCAAACCCGGTGGTGACCCAGAATTGTTTTTTTGGGGAATCGGGGTCACCACCGGGTGTCTCACCACCTGGTTTGGAGACCACCAAGTGGCCTCGAGAGGCGCGCAGGTCACCGGGACCCCTTCAGGAGGCCTCCCGAAAGACGCCAAGACGAGGTTTCGAAGCCTCTGGTCCACGACATAAGTACGGTGGCGGGATGAGCCGAGGGCCGTGAGATCCGCCGCCCCCTGCTGGCAGGGGTGCACGGCGTGCTGGATGAGCTGGTTTTGGTTTTGGTTCTTTTTCCAAAAGAACTCTCCAATGGGCTCCGGCAAAACCCGCCGGCCACCCGGAAAATCCCCAAACGTGCTCAACGACCGGAAAAAATCCTCCAAAAACGGCCGTTTCGCTCGGGACATCCTCAAAAAATCGCGAAGATGGCCCAAGATGGCCTCCAAGTCCGCCCGAGATGGTCCAAGACGGCCTCCAAAGCGGCCCAAGAGTCCAAGACGGCCCAAGAGGCCCCCCAGAGGCCTCCCAGACGGCCCAAGAGGCCTCCAAGAGGTCCTCCAGGAGAGTCCCAAGAGGCCAAAATCATTGATTTCCCCTTGGTTTTTGAAGATTTTGGCATTTGCGCCTTTTCGGCTCTCCGACGGCTCAAGACGGCCCAAGAAGCCCCCAAGATCGCCCAAGAGGCCCCCAAGAGAGCCCCCTGATGGCCCAAGTGGCCTCCAAGATGGCCCCTAGAGGGCCCCAAGAGGGCCCAAGAGGCCTCCAACACGCCCAAGATGGCCTCCAAGACGCCCAAGATGGCCTCCAAGACGGCAGCGCCCCAAGAGGGTCCCCCGTTGGCCCAGAAAGGACGGCTCCCGACGGCGTCAGACGTGCCAGGAACCCACCTGGCCAAGAGCGGCCCTGGAGATTCCAAGAGGGTCCCCCGTTGCGTCCAGAATAGCCCAAACCGCTTCCAAACGGCTTCTTCCGACGTGCCAGGAGACCCACCAAGACCAAGAAATGGCCGAAGTTGGCTGGCCCGAGACGGCCCAAAAGACGGCCCAAAAGACGGCCCAAGAGGCCTCCAAGACGGCCAAGATGACCTTCAAGATGCCCACGTGTTCCCCGAAGGCTTTCCAAACCGATTCGGGGAACACGTGGTCCGATAACTTGGCAGGTCTGGCCTCAACGTTCGGCCACATAGGCGCTTCCAAAAAGGCAGGGGGCGGCGGTGATTCGCCGTAGGCGTCTTCGATATCCGCCGCCCCCTGCTTGCAGGGGTGCACGGCGTGCTGGATGATTCAGTTTTGGTTTTGGTTCTTTTTCTAAAAGAACTCCCCAGTGGGCTTCGGCCCGTCCCGCCGGCCACCCGCGAATTTCCCAAAATGCGTCTGTCAATGCCCAAACACGGCCGTTTCGCTCGGGACATCCTCAAAAAATCGCGAAGATGGCCCAAGATGGCCTCCAAGTCCGCCAGAGATGGTCCAAGACGGCCTCCAAAACGGCCCAAGAGAGTCCAAGACGGCCCAAGACGGCCCAAGAGTCCCCCCAGAGGCCTCCCAGACGGCCCAAGAGGCCTCCAAGAGGTCCTCCAGGAGAGTCCGAAGAGGCCAAAATCATTGAATTTCCCTTGGTTTTTGAAGGATTTTGGCATTTGCGCCTTTTCGGCTCTCCGACGGCTCAAGACGGCCCAAGAAGCCCCCAAGATCGCCCAAGAGGCCCCCAAGAGAGCCCCATGATGGCCCAAGTGGCCTCCAAGATGGCCCCTAAAGGGCCCCAAGAGGGCCCAAGAGGCCTCCAACACGCCCAAGATGGCCTCCAAGACGCCCAAGATGGCCTCCAAGACGGCCCTGGAGCATTCAAGCGGGCCCCAAGTCGGCCCATAGAGGCCCCCCAAACGGCTTCCGACGGCTTCAGACGTGCCAGGAACCCACCAAGATGGCCGAAGTTGGCTCGAAGCTGGCCCGAGACGGCCCAAAAAGCCCCAAAGATCGCCCAAAGCCTTTTGCCCAAGAGGCCTCCAAGACGGCCAAGATGACGCTTTTCAAGATGCCCACGTGTTCCCCGAAGGCTTTCCAAACCGATTCGGGGAACACGTGGTCCGATAGCTTGGCAGGTCTGGCCTCAACGTTCGGCCACATAGGCGCTTCCAAAAAGGCAGGGGGCGGCGGTGATTCGCCGTAGGCGTCTTCGATAGGACACGCATCAGGGTCTTTCTCCGTGACCTCAGAAACACCTGAACGCCAGATCAAGCGCGACGTCTGCCTCCGATTCCACAACCTCAGTCCGCCCTGCTCGGGGGCAAACAACTTGCCCCATCAAGAGCCAGTGGACAATGCGCGTGATGTGAGAAAACCAGGTCTAGTCACAGCTCGAACCAACATGACAACGGATGTACTCAGACTTTTTTCCGTCGCGACCACGCAGGCAACGACGCAGCCGAAGCAGTCGGAGAAACGCCCGGAAAACCGCCGAGGCTACAAAAGCGGCCTGGGAATCACGCGGGGATGTACTCAGACAATCAAGCAATGTGACCTGTTCACTATTTTATTGCACCTCAAGTTGTCGTCTCGTGCCACGTATCTTGTCCGAATTGTCGGGCTTCGTCAGGGTGTCTCTCTGACTTGCCAGAATCGTGCCAACTTCATTCCTATATAATCGCATCAATCGTGGATCCGACAGTCCTGCTGTGCATTAATATGTTAACGGGGCACCCGAACGGACATTTCGAGCTTTTGGCCCGGGGAGGTCCCCAGGAGGCTCCACGAGGCCGCCACCACGCCTTCAAGAGGCCCACGGAGGCCCCCAAACAGGCCTCAAGAGACCCCAAGAGGCCCCACAGAGGCTCCCAAGAAGCTTCGAAGAGGCTCCCGAGAGGCCCCACGGAGGCACCTTCTCCACGACCAAGTTTGGCCCCACAATGCTTCAAGAAGCCATCGAGAGGCCTAGGCGCTCTGAAGCCGTTTTGAAGCCCTCTTGAAAGCCTCTGGAAACGTTTTGGGGCCGCCGCTCTCTGCAGCTCCTCACTGCCGACGACCTGTCGGCCAGGCCACCGCGGTGCGCAAGATGGGCCGGCGGAATGAGCGAAGCGATTAAATAAGTTATGCTGGACTCTTGAGCGGTTCTTCTCTCCTAAAAGCACCTCCGAGGCGCTCCTGGAACTATCTTGAACCAAAAGAAAGAAATACCAAACGCATACCAACTCCAAATGGCATTCATCAAGGTGTAGGTAGCATTGGCTGGTGTTCCTCTTCTGACATATTGTTGCCTCTCGGCCCCTCTCGGGCTCTCTTCGAACGTCCTTGCACCCTGTGTGCCTCTTGTCACTTGTTCGTGCCTTCTTCGGGCCTCCTGACGCTCCTTGGGGACTCCCAGGGTCTGTCTTTAGCGGTCGGGAGCTGCCTTGAACGGCCGGGGAAGGGGCTGGGAGGCCAGGACACATGATGGATCCCGATTGGGGCTCAAACTTGCGATCTTTTGGCCCTCCCAATCCGCGTTTACCTTCACGGCCAGATGCACATCATTCCCTGGACATGGATCCCCCCCGGGCCGAAAGCAAGCCCGGGAACACGCAGGTGCTCCTCGGACATGGGGGCGCCTCCATCTCCGCCGCTCGCTCGGCCGCCCCGGCGCCGTCTGCGTCGCAGCCTCGGCGGCCATCCCAGGGTGGGGTGGCGAGGGGAGGGATCTGCAGTAAGGCGAGGGTCGAGCTTCCATGGCCACTTGTTCTGTCGGGCATCCTCTCTTCGGCTTCCTAGGAGGCTTCTCGTCGCCACGGCCGGACTCAACTCACCGTTTCTGGCCAGGACGCCGCCCCGAAAAGGCCCGAAAGCACCACAAGGGGTGGGCGGAGAGGGGGAACTGGACAAGCCAGGTACGCTCGCGCCACATCTGGCATCCTGCCCCTCCGACCCATCCCTTCTTGTTGTGTTGATGCTGCTCTGTGCGCCGACTGGGGTCACAGCGGACGGACCTGGGACCCTCAAAGGGATCCCATCGTGTTTCGCGCAATTCGAGAAGGGGAGTGGCGGATGAGCAGGATGAGCAGGAGGATGAGCAGGAGGGAGAACATGAGGGGAGAGGATGGGCAGGGGAGGGGCAAGGGGCCAACAACGTGTCCTGGATCATCGAAGCATGTGCACATGCGTGAGAAACAGAAGATGATGAGGATTACAAGGAGTACGCCGGCCATGCGGACGAGGGGACTTCAAAGAATCAACAGAAATCTGGCTAGATGGGAAACGCAGCATGAAACCGCAGCTGCACACCGCCCTCGTCGCTCCCAGGCGGCTTGTTGCAGTGGTCTACTGCGCTCACTCTCATTCAGAAACCATGTGCGAGCTTTGCCTCTGCGCTGGAATCCACACCGGAATATCCCTAAAAACTGGATGCAACCAGCAAGTCGGGTGGAATCGACTAGGAGGACTCGGCAAATTTCCGCCAAACTGATTTCACGAATGAATGGTCCTTACATGTGTGTAAATGTACTTTCCTGTGTGTTTCTTGTTTTCGCCGGGTGGGTTCCCGTGATCGTCAACTGGCCGCCACATCCTGGCTGGGTTTGCCAAATTACAGATTGTAAATCGTAGCTTGGACGGCATACTTTGCAAGTGTGCATTGCACCGCATAGCTTGCGACGCATGTATTGCACCACGTGGACTGATCCACATAGAGTGCACATCGAGAGTGCATGAACCCACCTTTCGGGGGAAAACATGATCCAGCGACGCTAGAGGATTTTCCATACTCCGCGCTCCCCTTCCCCCCTCGCGCCCTCCGTACAACCGTCGTCACCTGCATGCGCCCCGCGGGGGCGCTTCGCGGAGCGGCGACAAACGCAGCACCGAACGGGACCTCGCCCTCCCCGGGTAGCTGGTAGGCGTGCGGCCGCCGCCGCTGCCCTGCGCCGCCTGCAGGGTGCTGGCCGCCGTCTTGGGCCCTCCTGGGTCTCTCTTGGGCTGTCTTGGGGCTCCTCGGGGGCGTCTGGGGCACTGTGAAGACGAAGCAAGCGAGTATGCTGAACATGTACGTTTTACGAGGCAGATTATTGCATCTTGAAGGCCCTCTAGGGGCCCTCTTCGGCCATCTTCAAGCCATCTTGGGCCCTCTTGGGACGCTCTCGGGCGTCTCGGGGCCCTCTCGGGCCTCGCTGAGGCTGTCCTGTGGACCTCTTGGGCTGTCATTGGGGCCTCTTGGGCCGTCTCGGGCGGGTTCGTGGACGCCACGGGGCGCCCGGGGCCGCCATGCCAACCTTTGGCACCACCCCGCCCCCGCCCACGGGCCTACTCCGAGGTATATCGATACATCTATTTATATATATATATATATATGTGTATGTATATATATATATATATGGAGCGATCTAAGTGATGCAATGGCGCAATCTATGTGGTGCGCGGCGACATGGCGGCGACGACGACGACATAGCCGCCAGACCGGCCCAGCGGCGACGAGGCGGCGACAGGGCGCGTATCGCACGAGCGCAGGACTTTCGGAGGCCCGCATGGTGTCTTCTTGGGTCTGCGCTGGGGTCCCCTTCTTGGTGGCCTTCCAGCCCGCAAGGGGTCGCCGGCAAGGCCCCTCCGAATGAGCGCGGACGCGCCGGAGGAATCGAACCCCGAGAGCTCCGAGAGCTTGGACAGCATCGACGCCGTGAGCATCCAAGAGGCCCAGTCTGGGCAGCTCGGCGATCGAACGTCCTCGTCCTCCTCCTGGATCCCCATCCCTCCCTCCTCCCCGCAGCCCTCGTCCTCGTTCTCCTCCTCCTCCTCCTCCTCCTCCTCCTCCTGCTGGAGCTCCTGCTCCGTGCTGCTGCTTCTGCTGCTGATTCCCATCCCCCTCCTCGCCCTGCTCATGCTTTCTCCCCATCCACTTCTGATGCGGGTGCTCTTCTTCCTCCTCCTTCTCCTCCTCGCCCCACTTCCCCTTCGTCCACCCAGGGATAACGGGCCCACAACCTCGATCTTCAATCCCTCCTCGATCCTCGACGACGGCGACGCCCAACGCCCAACGGGCCCCCCCCCCGGGTGGGCGCGGCGCGCGGGGTTGAGCGGGAACGGCAGGGGTGGGAGGGGGGGACCAGCTCGGGTTGGGGCACATCGACTTGGACTCGTCGACGCATCGCCGAGGGATCGGCCAGGGGTCCCCAGTGGGGAAGCTGCGCGCCGCTGGGCAGGTTGGGGCGCCCAGCCCCCGGTCGGTGAGGAGAGGGCGATCGGGGGTCGACGTTCCCCCCCACCCCCTCCCACGTCCACCGCCCCTGGCCAGACCATGGCAGGCTGGCACATGCACCCCTCCTGGGCCCAGGGTGGGCCTGGCCACGGGCAGTGGACATGTGTAGCTCCGGTCGCCCAGACCTGGGCCGTTCCTCTCTCTGACGTTGCCCCTGAATCTGGGGCGTCCGAGAGGGGGTTTCAGCAAATCGTGGTCCGAAGCATGGACGAGTGGGGTGCCAAAGGATGCGTGGAAGAAGAATGGACCATAAAATCGGAGGAGATCTCATGGCCTCTGCCAGGATATCCCTCCACCCCTATTGAAGGAAGCCCACACACACAAAACGTGCGCGCCCAAACACGTACATGAACATGGCCCCCTGGTTCGCGAGACCAGCCTCGTGATACGAACGTTCGCGCAAGGCGTACGCTCAAAACCAATGTGGGTTCATGTACGAGTGCGTCATTATTTCGCTCCTGACCTTAGTCATCACCCCCCTCCAGGATATCATGGCCCTCGCAACGATACACTGGGGCTGCTAAAATACGTAAAGCTGAATAATGATCGAAACCTATTTTGGGCCTCAAGAGTGCCTGCGTGCACGAGGAGGGCTAGAGGGCTAGATGAATAGCCATGGAAGGACCTAAGTAGCATCGAGCTCCTTCCGAACCCAAACTGTCCCTTAGTTCAGCGCCTTGACTGCATCCCCTCACCCCCTTACTCATCATCCCCCACCTAGCCGCCCCCGACTGGAGGTCGGGCGTTGCTAGAAGTGCCCCTGGCCCAGGGGCCCCCCAGGATTTCCAAGGGGGGCCCCCACGGCCTCCAGAGCACCCCTCGCGAGGCCCCCAGGGGGCCCCCGGGGAAGCCCCAGCCTTGGGCGACAGGCTGGGGGCACCCTGGGCCTGGGGCACCTCTCTCTGGCCCCCCTCGGGGATCTTTTGACCCAGGTCAATCCAGAACCGGGTCAGCAAGAAACCAAAAACTGCAGTGCAAGGGGTCTTCGCAGGATCCTGCATGATCCGGTGCCCAGGCTGACCCCCGTCTGCACTGACCCCCGTCTCGAGGCACCCGACCCCCCCCCCCCGAGGAGGGGGGCAGAGCTCCGAGGCCCGGGGCCCTTGGGCAGGAGCTGCTCCTCGGCGTCCAGGCGGGCCCTGACCTCCTCGGGCGGGGATGGGCGGCAGAGCCGCGAAGCCGTGGCAGCGCGGCTGGGAAGGGGCAGCCGCAGGGAGAAGGGAGGAGGAGGGAGAAGGGAGGAGGAGGGAGAAGGGATGAGGGGGAGGAGGAGGAGGAGGAGGAGGGAGGATGAGGGAGGAGGATGAGGAGGGAGGAGGAGGGGAGGTTAGGGGAGTAGGGAGGAGGGAGAGAAGGAGGAGGGAGGGTAGGAGGATGGTGAGAAGTGGAGGGGGGGGGGGGGGGGGGGGGGGGGGGGAGGGATGAGAGAATAATAATAATAAGAAGAAGAGGAGGAAGAGGAGGAGGAGGAGGAGGGGGAGGAGGAGGAGGAGGAGGAGGAGGAAGGGGTAGGACGGAGGAGGGGGAGGACAAGCTAGGTGCGCTCGCGCCGTATCGGAACCATGACGCCGACAATGCTATATCCGCAGAACTGTGTCACATCGGACCGGGGACAATGATATACCCCATCGTGTTATGCGCACGCGGATAAGGAGAGCTGCGTACATTTGATGAAGCGGCGAATGATGAGGAAAAGGAGGATGAGGACGGAGGAGGACGAGGACGAGCACCAGCAGCAGCATGAGTTGGAGTAGGAGTGGGAGGAGCAGGAGGAACAGGGGACGGCGGAAGGAGACGGAGGGGGGCGACGACGGTGAGGAACAGCTCGGATCTAGAAATGTGGCCCGCGCTGAGGCGACAACGCCATTCTGAAGGACGGGAACAAAACACCGTTCCTGACATCAGGCCCACGCTGCAGCGGGAGCATTATTATGAACCATCGGGGGCGCTCCGAATTGAACAAGTACCACAGGAAAGACCCCATCATGAAATCCAGCGTGAACAAGAACTTGGACAATATTTAACATCTTCACGACACGCTCAGGATAGAGCTGAGAGTAATATTCATATTGACCAGTTGTAAAGGAGGAGGAAGTGGAGGGGGAAGAGGAAGAGGAAGAGGAGAAAGAGGAGAAGGACGAAGAGCGAGGAGGGGGATGACTGGGAAGAGGGAGGGGGGGGAGGATGCGGAGAAGGACGAAGAGGGAGGGGGACGAGGACTTTCCAAGGCCTTTCGCGGCGCCGATACAACCGAACACCGAGCCGACAACGAAACCGAACTGAACCGAAACCGACAAGCCACAAGAAACCTTGATCGACACACCATCGAACCGAACCGAAACGGCAAAACGCAACCGACTGCGATGCAACCGAACTGACTGGACCGTAGGCGTCCCTGGTCCCCCTTCCACCAGATCGCAAGATCGGGCTCTGAGAAATCAACCATGTCTAGTTCAGACCTCCTCCTGCCTCTTCATCCTCCGCCTGCTTCATTGTCTTTTCCTCCTAGCCTCTGCTTCCAGGATCCCTGGAACCTCTCCCACAAAGAGGGAACCTGCCGCGCCCCCCAGTAGAAATTGTCTCTGGGTGGTACGCAAACGAAAGACAAGCTGATACTCTTAAACCACAAAGGCCACGCTAAGAACACGCATGCCATGGTTAGCTTTGGCTTATTTTGAGTGGGATCGCAATGCTACGGTACAGTGATCGCACTACACACATACACATATGCACATCTATATATATATGTATATATATATATGTGTATATATATGTGTAGGTAAGCAAACGATTGGTTCCGAGGTCTTAGTAGAGCTGGGGCAATCGATGCAGGAACCCACATCGCCTCAACGCCCTTCGCCACACAACGATGGGGATAGCCCGACGAGACGACGACGTAGCGGACACGATTGTCCGTGCCCCATCGCGCGTCCTGGTCGAACAGTGCCTCTCCAATGCGCGCATCGGCTGGGCTGGGCGCTCGGTCTGGACGCTTCCCTCCGGCCCACGTCCTTCTCCCTTCCTCTCCCCCTCTTCCCTCGGGCCCAGAACCCAACAAATCTTCGTGAACCTCTTGAAACATGGAAAACATGCAAGCCCCCAAGAATCCGCTAAAGCTCTAAACGGCGAAAAACCTCCTCCTAACACATACCATCCTCTTACTCCTTTCTTCCTCTTTATAAGTATCCTCCTCATCCTCTCCATCCCCCTCCAACTCCCTCTCCCCTTCCCGTCTCATGTCCTGTCCTCGTCCTCGTCCTCGTCGTCCTCCTCCTCCTCCTCCTCACCACCACCACCACCACCACCACCACCACCACCACCACCACCACCACCACCACCATCATCATCATCATCATCATCATCATCATTCATCATCATCATCATCATCATCATCATCATCATCATTATCATCATCGCAGCATCCTCATCACATTATCACCATCACCATCACCATCAACATTCATCACCATCACCACACCATCACCATCCACCATCACCATCCAATCACCATCACTCATCACCATCATCATCATCATCATCATCAGCATCATCATCGCCATCATCATCATCGCCAATCATCGCATCATCATCATCATCATCATCATCACCATCACCCTCACCATCACCATCCACCATCACCAGCCCACATCACACCATCACCATCACCATCGCCATCATCATCATCATCATCATCATCATCATCATCCATCATCATCATCATCATCATCATCATCATCTCCTCCTCCTCCTCCTCCTCCTCCTCCTCCTCCTCCTCCTGTCCCCTCCTCGAGAACAGCCGAGCGAACGGACCCGGCAGAACGTGACCTGCCGCGAAGCATCCGAACCGACCAGACCGCGGAGCCTCATTCGTCCGAGCCCAGCCCGCACTGGTATGGCCTTGGCTACACTGGCCGGCTCACTCTCACGGCGGGGAGATGTGCCGCTGCCCTCGGGTGCCGAAGCGCCACTCCGCACCTGGGAGGGCTGGCCGGTGGGGCCGGGAGACCCTGGCTCGGAGCGGGGCGAGCTGAGACAGCGGCAACTCGGAATCGGTCCTCAGACCCCTCCCGGGGTCCAATCGCACCGAGTTTCCGAGCTGCGTCCAACCGTGGTGCCGAGGCCTCCCCCCCCCCCGAAGGCCAACTGCCGTTGTGTCAACTCGCCCTCCTCTGAATGGGCCGGGCGGGGATGGGGACAGGCTAGACGATGCTGACCCTCTTCGTCTTCGTCGTTGTCGTCGTCGTCGTCGTCGCCCCTGGTCGATCCTGCGTCTCCAGCTGCAGGCGGCTGTGCAGCGCGCGCGCGTCGTGGAGCTGCAGCTGCAGCGAGGCCGCTGGCCCTCCAGCGCAGGCCGGTGGGCAGAAAAAGGGGGCCTCTTGAAGGCCTGGGCGACGCAGTGATTTTTCGCCCCGGGCGTCTTCCTGCGGCTCCTTCGGGCCCCAGGGCCCCAGCGGGTGGGCCCGGCTCGAGAGATGGCACGGCGAGATGGGGACGAGGTCTCCCGGCCCTAAGAGGCTCCCAAGAGGGGGGGGCGCTTCTCGACCTCTGCGTTCATCTCACGCCGATGGCTGGCGGCGCCCATCCGGGGTTGGCGCCAGGGGGGCGGCCTTCTGAGAAAGCGGCGGGGCCTCTAAAACTGCTGGGGGATCTCTAGGAAACCCGCCCGGCTTCTAAGAGGCCCTCTTACAAACCTTCAAGACTTTTTAAGAACACCCCTGCTTTCTAAGAAGCCCCTCCGTCTTCTTCAAAAGCTGGCCACCTCGCTTTTCCCTCTCTGGCTTGGCCCAAAAGCTTTGCCCGCGCTGTTTTCAGGACATACTGCCAGCCCGCGCCGCGTTTGCGCCGCACTCTGAAATTTTCTGTCAGTACGTTTCCGATCGCACTGTAAATTGCGCTGATTCTAGCTGGACTTGGTCACAGCATCGCATCGCGCAACGTTTGGAAAACGTGTGCGTACGTGCGTGCGTGCCTGTGTGCGTGTGTGTGTGTGTGTGTGCGTGTGTGTGTGTGTATGCGTGTGTAATAATTATCCTTGCCTGTGCTTTACGTTTCAGCTTTGGCGGCGAAATGGCCCCAAGACTTCCAGCATGACCTCGAAGTGTTCCTAAGAGGACCCCAGAGGCCCTCCGAAGACCTCCAACGGGCCCCCGAGACGACACCCCAAAAGACCTCCAGAGGCACGAAGGCTCTGTCCCACAACCCGGGTACGGCGGCGCGAGATGGGCCGACGACCGCTCGTCAACATGCGACGTGCTGATCGCGTGAGGCAGGCCTTTCGGCCATCCTGAGCCACCTCGTGGCCAAGGGGGTGGGTCAACCCGTGCCACCCTTGGGCCCCTCCCCAAGGCTGCTCCTCAGCAGCCCCCTCGCTGCAGTGCCCCCGCCTCCCTGCTCTTCCCGACTGCGCCTTTGCCCCGCGTCCGCTCGCTGCTCCGTCTGCCGCCTCCCCCTCGGCTCCCGCGCCCCCTCCCGCATCTCGCGCCCTGGCTGCTCCCACTTCGGGGTCGGCAGCATCGGGCCCGAGGCCCCTTCAGAATGATGGGGATGGGGCAGAGGAGACACGAGTGGGGGGGGGATGACCACGAGTGAGCAACAGTGAGAGGGGACATGGGAGCTCTTTCCAAACGCGATGCGGGGGATGGTCGACGTGCCTCCGTTCGCCACAGCCAGCTGCTGGTGCAACTTCTCGATTGCCTGGCGCAGCCGAGGAAAAAGACAATGTATGACGGCTCATAGATGATTAATTTTTCATTACCACAAATACGCTATCATATCAAAATGGTGCAAAACGGATCAGAGGGTATAAGAACACGGAGAAACGATCTCAGCACGACCCGTTCAGTAATCATCGACCCGATGCTGCAGGTCCAATCGATCACTATCGGGCTCGAATGCACACAATAACTGGGCTCGCTCAAGCTTAATTTCCTGAGACCGCAGCAGCTGGCCTGGACCCCTGCGATATGCTTGTCGCACTGCTTCAGACGGAGGTTGCGCAGTGATGAGCTTGGACCAACATGGACAGATCGGCGGATTTATTGCGTAGGAGAGCAACACATGACACACCACGCTGCAGTACGAAAACATTCTTCGCACGGACACTGCTGGACCACCACGTGCCGGAGCGCACTCTAGACTGCAGGGAACCATTCCCGCCACCATCGACGGAATCCTCCCAACCGTGCTCCAGGAAAGATCCGACGCGGAAGCTCCAGCGTCCGAAACACGGCGGTCCTCAGCGAAGCTGACAGAGCGCTGCGGACCCGGAGCGCAGCGACGCACCCTGAGGAAACCAAACAGTACCGACACGGCTACTCCCTGGACCTCGTCTGGGGTGCGTTCTGATCAGGATCTCGCGGCGAATCCAGCGGAGGTGATGAGGGCCTCCCAGGAGGTCCAACACGGCGAAAACGAGAGACAAAAGGCATGGGTAACTTTTCCCCCTCCGACTTTCCGGGAACGCGGCGCCGCTCCGCGACGCTCTCGAGCACCGTCCGCCGTAGCTGGATTGCCCCCGGAGCTGGCCGACCCACCCCAGGCCTCCCTCCGAGCGAGCCAGCGCATACACTTCTCACACGGTGACTTGTTGTGCTCCCTGGCTGTTGTGACCATCGTTTAACAGATCCCTATCCCCACTTGCGTGGCCCAGGCCCTGCTATCCCCGATGTATCCCCCTAGACGGGGATATAGGCTGTTCCATTCAGGTCTCGAGGGGTGTAGCCCCAACTGGGGTGGTAAGATGGCGGGGCTCGGGATGGGGATGGGGATGGGGATCGGCTAAACAAGACTGATACTCGTGGCAAGCTCAGCAGCAACACCCCGCGGTGGAGGCGTCTCTGCGTTGATGAAAATCTGTAACGGAAGAGAGGAACGTACATGTGAGGGCACCGAAGAGGAGGGTAAGTAGACGAGAAAGGCAACGACGACGAATCGCATATGAGGACGTGATAAGCAGGATGAGAACAGGTGCGCGGCCTAAGATTGTCAAGATCTACCAACGACGCGCCCCCTGAGATCGACAAAACCCGCTGGCAATGTAAAGCAATTCCTAACAGCTTTATGTTTTTTTTGCCGCCGCCCTGTTCAGGTCAACTAAGAGCCAAGGGTCATCCACATTTCCTCGCATGACAACGCAGGAACATACAACACAGTCAGTTACATCCCCAGGCCGAAAGTTTTTCCTTTTGGACTAACAAATATGAAAGCATCAGTGGATCCAATTGGATCCATTTTTCGGGTGTGGGAGAGTTTCGTGGATCCTATTTCTGTGTTGCGCGGATCCAATGTCCTGCGTGAAAAAAAAACGATGGATCAACTCATTTCCCGGGAATAAATATATAATATTAATTAACATCCGGGACCCAGGGGACATGGGATCCGCGGAGCACCGCAAGTGAAGCATCATGCTATCCACGGAAATGTGAATCTGCAGACCAATGCTATGATTCTACGGGGGAGGGGATCTTCCCAGGATGAAGAGGGGAAGGATGAGGGAAGAGGCAAGAGGAGGTGGGAGGAGAACAGAGGGGACGCACGGGGACAGAGAGGAGGAACACTCAGGGAAGCGAGGGGGGGATGAGGAAGGAAGAGGAAAAGGAGGAGAAGGAGGATGAGGGAGGAGGGAGGAGAGAGGATGGATGCGGACGGACGAAGGAGGAAGGAGGAGGAGGAGGAGGGGGGAGGTGGGAGGAGGAGGGGGGAAGTGGGAGGAGGAGGAGGAGAGGCAGGGATGAGGGAGGGCGAGGACACACAAGCAAAGTGTCCAAGTCGGAAGCTCGAGCGCCACGGCGGGCCTGGCCAACCCCCTTCACTTCTCCCATAACATGTGGTTGCTCGAGCGCCACAACGGGCCTGGCCATCTCCCGAAAACCCTCCCATAACATAAGTTTGCTCGAACGCCACAGCGGGGCCGGCCAACTCCCGCATCTCCACCCATAACATATTTGCCCCACCTCGAAGCGAACGCTCCATGTATCCGCTCACCTGAACGGCGCGTCGCTTCCGACATGTGGGGCTCAAGAGGAACATCTCTCGGCCTGCGTAAGTATTCTCCTCATGTCCCTACTCCTCACATGGCAACGCAAAGATGTAGAACAATCATCGTGGTACACAAGATGGGGAGGAGGCATCGCAAAGCCGCGGCCGCCGCCGCCTCGTGGGGCCCCTGAGCACTTCTCACACCTTGTGCTCTCCCTCTCCCGCTCTCCCCTGTCCTCCGTCGAAAAACCAACTCACGATCTGTCCCCAGACCTCTGGAGGGGGTTCTTCCTGGCTGGCTTCTCATCCCGGACAGGTTTAGGATGGCCCCGTGGCCTGAAAAGGGCCCCCCCGGAGACCGAGACCGAGGAACACAACACTCCGGAATCCTGTGCCGATCGCCTCCCCCCCAAACGGGTGTTCGCTCACGGGGGGCACGATCCACGCGGGAGTGAAGACCTGGGCGCCTCTCGTGAAGACGGCTGCGTCGACGAGCCAAGACGACGGTGTTTTCCGATCCATTGGATGGCCGCCATGCGCCCTGTGGCTGTCCCAGTCGGGCCCGCGGCGGCAGTTGAATCGGGGGCCCTTCAGGCCACCTCTCCTGCAGCCCAGGGGCTCGAGCTCAACTGTGTTTTGGCGATTTCGTGGGCCGTCTTCATTCTGGATTCGTTTTGCGGCAAAGGACGAACGAAGACAGAACGAAGGAAAACGAAAAGAAAACGTCATCGAAAACAATGTTTTTAGCTCGAGCCCTGCTGCAACCTGCAACCCTCGATCCTCCCCACGTTTGTGTCCCCCCTCCCCGCTGCTCAGGGCCACAAGAACTGCCAGGGTGCAGAGATGGCCGTGGGGAAAACCCGAGGAGGCGCCCGCTTCCCCCAGGACCGACGGGCTGGCAGCGGACGTCGTCGTCGTCGTCGTCGTCGTCGCTTCCTTCCTGAGCTTTTCGGGCGCGACGGCGAGGCGGCCGTCCGAAGGGCTCCCCGCGCGAGCCCCTCTCTGGCCCCCGCCGTGCCGCGAGGCGGCCGGGGGCGCCGCCGCACACGGCGCGCCCCCCCGCTCCCCGGCGCCCGGGCTCACAGCGCCGAGCAGCCCCACAAGAAAAAAACACACGCCGGCCCCAGGCGTCGGGGCCGCCCAGGCGTGCGGGGTTCGGCGCTCTCTCAGGCGAGGAAAAGGCACCCCTTACCCTCAGGTCGGGCATCCCGTCCTCCTGCAGGCGGATTTGGGCGAAAGTGGAAAAAACCTTCAGCAAATATCCAGAGGTAGTCAAACATAATCGGAACATCGTCCCCAGACTAATGTTTGACTCCCCCTGTGGAGGGACACGCCCGACAACCCTACCACTGCCCTCGCCTCGTTTTCCCCTCTTTTGGTCTCCTGGGCGGCCCTCGTCCCCACCGCTGGATTCGCCTTTAGGTCGTGGTCAGACCGCACCCCAGGAGAGGCCCGGGGAGGAGCGGTGTCGGGTCGGCACCTTTTGGTGTCCCCGCTCTCCTCGCTCGTGCTCGAGGCCCGCGCGGGCTGCCGCACAAGGCTCTCGGAGCAGCGTGCTGGTCCCCGTCGGTGAGGTGTCAAACCGAAGAACAAGGAGGCGCGGTAAGGGTGCAAGGGGCTTGGGAGGCCATGGTGACGCTCCTCGCACGGAATGGCCAGCGAAAGCTGCCAAGGATGGGCCCGAGGGGCTGGGATGCAGGGGTCACCTTGGAAAGTTGCTCATACCAAATGTGCGCCTTGACTGTACGACAGGCAGCCTGGTGCGCCACGTCGTGCCGCAGAGGAGGACGCAATCACGTCTTGCGCGCCCAATCCTTTCGAAAAGCAGTGCAAGTTCATGGACCGGCTCCGACGACCGTTATGTGTAAGCTATCAGACACCCGGGTCTCACATGAACGGGTGCTTCTCAACGTGGCGACGGCCTCAAGAGGCTCTCCAGGGGCTGGCCCGGCAGGTGGTGCAGCGGAACCACCTCCACCACCGCCAGACACATCCGCCTGACGGATCCCCAATGTCGAGACAAATCGAAAGCACGCTAGTGAAAACATCATCGACGCCCATCGGGGGCTGCGACCGAGGGCTCTGCGGCACGCATCGTGAACAAGAGCAAGCACGCCTTCGGAGGTCTGGAACCAGGGCACCCGACAGACTGACTACCTACAAGACCACCTCAACCCAACCCGAAGACCCGAATTTGACCCGAATTTCGGGTTGAGGGGGTACGGATTCCATGTGTTTTTTCAACGCCCAACTGGAAATGGAAGGCAAATTGAGGGCTTTGGGTTGGGTTGGGGTGGTTTGGCGGGTGGTGACAGACAACCTCGAAGAGTCCAGAAGGCCCTGCCACGCGACGAGAGACAGACGCAAACACGGTCGCACACACGCGCCCGCTCATCGCCCTCGTCGGTCCACGAGCGCCCACCTGCCATGGACTCGGACCGTCCCCTGGATCGCAGCCCTCTCGCGCTAGTCCTCACAAGATGAGGGCACTGTCGTGACTGCGAGACGCCCATCGTCCCAATCACCCACACCTGCAGGCTGTATGTATGAGCGGAGGGTGCAAAGTATTCGAACAATAGACATACTTTCGCCAGAACGGATTCCCACCAAGGGGTTCTCTCACGTTCGACGGTGCACTCGAAGTGGCAAGCTGAGGGGATGACATGAGGTGCAACCCGTGGAATGCAATCTGCGTGCTGAAATTTTAGGGGTGGCGGCGGGGGAGACCAGGTCAAGCAAGAAATACGTACGCGGCATGCTACTGTCACCCGCTAGCCGCCCGCGCGACAGCTCGCCAAGGGCGGCCAAAGTCGGAATGGTGGTGAGATTCGGCCCTCCCCCCTCGGGGGGAGGGGCGGCAGGGCGAGGGGCGCGAGAGGCAGGGGGAGGAGGGCCTGAGGCGGCAGGGAGGCAGGGCGGGTGAGGGAGGCGAGGGGGGAGCGGGGGGGGGGGCGAGCAGAGGAGGGCGGTGGGATGGAGGGCAGCGGAGGGAGCACCGGGAGGGAGGGATGGGAGAGAGGGGCGGAGAGAGAAGAGGAGTATGGACACGCCAGCTGCGCTCGCACCACATCTGATATCCCTTACCCCTCCCACTCTTTCCTTCGCATTAAATGAGAGCGACGAGAGATTGGGGAGGAAAGGGGAAGGAACAAGGGGGGTCTCAAGATGGCCCCGAGATCGGCCAAGAGGGCCTCAAGATGGGCCCGTAAAGATTCAAAGGCGGCCGCCAGATTGTCTGCGAAACGTCTCATGGGGGGCGTTTTGACCGGGGTTCCTAAGGAAACCCAGCTGCGGCGACGAGAAGCCTCCCGGAGGCTGGAAGAGTCTGAACACAATGAGGTGGTCCTCGACCCTCCTTCTCCTTCTCCTCCTCCTCCTCCTCATCTTCGCCTCTTCCTCCTCTTCCTCCGTCTCCTCCTCCTCCTCCTCCTCCGCCCTCTCCTCCTCCTCCTCCTCCTCCTCCTCCTTCTCCTCCTCTTCCTCCTCCTCCTCCTCCTCCTCCTCCTCCTCCTCCTCCTCCCTGGGATCTTCGAAACTCCTCCTCCCAGCATGAAAAAAACGCCGCGTTCTGGAGGACAAAAGACTTGGAAACATTCTCCGCTTTCGGGCCCTTTTGGCCCTCCACGGGCCCCGTGGACGTCAAGCAACGACCTGGGATGAAGAGCTGGGTCCCAGGCAGGAGCCCCGGGCACCGGGACTCGCTTCCCCCCAGGATCACCTCTCCTTCCTGGCCGGTCTCTCTCTCTCTCTCTCTCGGCTGCACCGAGGGGGTTCGCGCAGCATGGCCCGAGGCGCGTGCGCGGACGAGGGGGCCAGGAGGCGACTGGAGAGAAGAAAATCGGAGGCGCGCAAACATGGATTAGCGATCCGTGGATCAGGCGCGCGGTCGCCAAATCCATGGATCGGGGGAGGTGCCCTCCCCCAAAATACGGCTGGTGCCGCCCCGCTCGGCGGCGGACAGCCGCGACTTCCCATGGAAACGGGACCCGTCGCCAATCCACGTCCCCTGAATCCATGTTTGCGATCGCCTGAGAAATCGGGAGCGGCCAAGAGAGGGGTGTCCACGAGGGGGGGGTGCAAATCATGACTGGCGGCATGTGCGCGGCCCAGCGGGGGTGCCGGGGACGTAATAGAATAAGAAGAGGCGCCATGAAATCTGGGGAAATAGGATGGCCCCCGCCATGAGATCCACCCCGTAGTCACCACCCCCCTATTTTGCCGCCCCAAGATAAGGGATGTGGACGGGCAAACATCGACCCCGCGATGCAGAGCCGGGTCCCAGGGAGGAGCCCCGGGGCCCTGGGCCCGCTTCTCCCCCTGGGAGATCACCTCTCCTTCCTGGCCTCGGCTGCACCGAGGGGGTCAGCGCAGCGTGGCCCGAGGCACGTGCGCGGACGAGGGGGGGCCAGAAGGCGACCGGAGAGAAGACAAGGGCGGGACCAGCTCAGGCGGGGAATCAACGATACATCGTCGACGGATGAGCGATGGGTCCCACGACGCATCATCGACAGATGGGCGATGGGTCCCCGATAGCGAATCCGCATGTTCCTGGGCGGGGTGGGGGGCCATCCAGCCCCACTGAGGCGATGCACGAGCGAGGAGGGGCCGCTGCGCTCCACCCTGCGCCTGTTCCCCCTGCTCCGAGTCTCTCAATGAGCGTCGGGGGGGGGGGGGGCGTCGGCCCCGCCGACAGCCCCGCATCGACCCCCGTCGCGGGCAGCCACCGCGCGCCGAAGGCGCTCCGACCCCCGTCGCGGCGCGACGACGAGGCGAGGTCGACCCCCCCTCGGGGGGGGCCAACCCCCCCACGCTCAGTAAGAAACCCGGGGAACAACGCTGCCCCCCGACCAGCCTCTTCCGTCGGACGCCTCCGACCCTCCCTCCCTCCCTCCCTCCCTCCCTCCCTCCCTCCCTCCCTCACCCCTCCTCCTCTCCTCCTCTCCTCCTCCTCCTCCTCCTCCTCCCTCCTCCTCCTCCTCCTCCTCCTCCTCCTCCTCCCTCCTCCTCCTCCCTCCTCCCTCCTCCCTCCTCCCTCCTGCCTCCCCCCCCCCCTGGCGAGGGGCCTGGCGAGCGAGGGCGAATCTCACCGCCCCCCCGCGGCGTTGGCCGCTCCCGCGCTCCGCATGCGCTCCCACTCCGCGGGGCCCGCGGCCCCAGCTGCGCGGCCCCCGGCGGAGTGCGCTCGTCGAGGGGAGCCCCCAAAAGGACGAGGAGGAGGAGGAAGGGGGAGGAGGAGGAGGAGGAGGAGGAGGAGGAGGAGGAGGAGGAGGAGGAGAAGCTGGAGGAGGAGAAGGACGAGGAGGAGGAGGAGGAGGAGGAGGAGGACGAGAACGAGGAGAAGGAGGAGGAGGAGGAGAACGAGGAGCGGAGGAGGACCCGGACCTCCAACGTGTTGAACAGCAAAGGCGATGCGGAAATTTCTCGCCGCCTTCGGCCTTTGCGGGCCCTCGCTGGGCCCAATCTTCGTCAACAAAATATCGGTGATGAAAAAGCTAGATCCACGGGGATAGGGCGGGGACTTCAGGGGCCCCTGTATGGGAACAACAAAAAACACATTGGGTCTCTGTGGAGGAGAGGATGCCAGAGAGAAGGAAGAGAACCGCACGTTGGATGGACATTTATGGTTGATCGCCTGATTCATTGTTGGGTGTCTTGGGCGGTCTGCGCAACACCCCCCACCACCCCTGTCCGAAGCGGAATTGGGTGGAGAAGAAGAGGGAGGGCAAGGGGACGGGAATGAGGGAAGGAGGGAGAATAGAATGAGTAGAAAGGAAGAGAAGGGAGGTTTCACGCTTCACGGGTTCGAGGGGGACCGATCAAAGGGAGGAAGACGGTGACGAGCAAGAGACGAAATAATGGGAAGAGGAGGGGGCAGGGATGGGGGGGAGAGGGGAATGGGGATGAGGACGGGGAAGAGAAACGCGGGGAGGGGGAGTAACCGTATGGTATATGAGAAGGTAGCGCCTCGAGACAGCGTTTATAAACATATGTATATGTGTATAGATATGTATATGTATATGTCCGCTGGTCCCCTTGTGGGGCCACCAGGCTGAAGGACTAGGTTTCTGCTCCCTGCACCAGTTGCAATTTCAAATCTCCCATGTTACAGTCCGGCTTTCTGCTTCCTCCTGTAAATGGTTGAAATCCGCGCGAGAGGGGGAGAGCCCCAAACCGCCCAAATTGCCACGCCCGTATTGAATTCTCTGAATGCATGGGGTGGCGTGGGACATGTAAAAATACCCGAGATTCGCCCCCGAGGCCATAATCCCTCGTAAATTATACAATGTACGCGGGGCCACACGCCCTTGCAAAGTATACAATTGTTGCGTCCCCGAGGCAACACCCCCTCGTACATTGCACAGTATTCGCGTCCCCGAGGCAACAAACCCATGTAAAGTATACCATATTCGCGTCCCCGAAACCATACACCTCTGCAAATTACACCCGAAACCAAGCCCCAAAAGCGCGCCAAGAGGCCTCCCGAGAGACCCCCAAGGGACCCAAACCGTCGATTTTACAATGGTTTTTGAAGGAAGTTGGCCTTCTCGCATGTTCGGCTTTCCGACGCTCCAAGACGACTCAAGAAGCTCGCGTGATCGCCCCAAGACAGCCCAAGACGCCTCCAAGAAGGCCCCAAGAGGCCCAAGAGGGTTCCGAGATGGCCCAAGAAGCGCACAAGACGGCCCAAGAGAGCCCCAAGACGGCCCAAGATGGGCCCAAGCAGGGGAGCCCAACTTGAAAATTATATAGTTGTGTCCCAAGAAGCCACCAGGAGGCCCCCAGGAGGCCGCCTAGAGGCCCCACGGGGTTCCAAGAGGCGCCCGCGACGTGCCTAAGATGCCTCCAAGAGGCCCAAAAGATACCCCACGAGGCCCCCAAGAAGTGCCCAAACCGCCTCTCTGAGGCCCCCAAGAGACTCCCCACGACACCCCAATACATACAAGGGACCTCAGACCCACAACCCAGGCACGGTAGCGGGATGAGCCGAAATCCACCAGGATAAAGCCACCAATATATGTATGTATGTATGTATGTATGTATGTATATATATATATATATATATATGGTACCCCCCACAGGGGTCTACCTTATTATGCCTCTTCACTGTTCGTCTCCTCCTCCTCCTCCTCCTCCTCCTCCCTCCTCCTCCTCCTCCTCTTCCTCCTCCTTCTCCTCCTCCTCTTCCTCCTCCTCCTCCTCCTCCTCCTCTTCACTGTTCGTCTCCTCGGCTCCCGCCTGAGAGGTCCCAAAAAAACGCGAAGAGGAAGAGGCTCCCGCCTGAGAAGTCCCCAAAAAAAACGCGAAGAGGAAGAGGCTCCCGCCTGAGAGGTCCCAAAAAAACGCGAAGAGGAAGAGGCTCCCGCCTGAGAGGCCCCCAAAAACGCAAAGAGGAAGATGCTCCCGCCTGAGAGGTCCCAGAAAAACGCGA